CATGGCTCCTCCCCATTTCAAGGCCTAACACTAGTTCTGGGACACTCTGTATAGCAACTGCCCAACTTGTATCAATAGAAGATTTCTTAGAACAATCTCAGACGAATATGCGTGAATCAGAGATAAACACCTGGAGCGAGTCTGAGATTGGGAGGGAGAATAAGGAAGAAATCGATAGAGAAAACAATGAACCAAAAGAGTCACAGAGTAATTCAACAGGGATAGTGAGTAATGAGCCAGAAAGGTGTGTCATAGATTTAGACGAAATCGCATCTGAGTCAGAGTTAGAGAATTTAGATTGGAATATGCAAGAAAAACATGTAGAGAAAAACAATAATATTCCAAGTACAGGAATGTTATGGCATATGAGACTTGGTCACTTATCATTAGAATATATGCGACACATGCAAAAGCATGAAGAAAAACTCAAAAACGTGAAATTAAATCATGAAATACAGGATTGTGAAACTTGCATATTCGCCAAGATGGAATCAATTCCTTTTAAAAATAATAGGAGTAGAGTAGAAAGCCCATTACACACTATACATACAGACACCATGGGTAAAATAACACCGGTGTCTTTTCCGGGCCGGAGCAGATTCATTACGGTATTCATAGATGATTATAGTAGATATGCCAGAGCTTACAGTATCGTGCATAAAAATGAATCTGGTCAATGCCTGGAAAGGTTCTTGGTACACACGAGAAATTTGGTTGGCAAGAACGAAAAAGTGTTTTCATCAGAGCAGACAGAGGCACCGAATTCACAGGAGGAGAATTTTTAGAGGTAATGAAAAAAGAAGGAATAAGTGACGACTTTACACCAGCAAATACTCCACAATTGAACGGTACTGCAGAAAGATTTAACAAAACTCTTCAGAGAAAAGTCAGAGCATTAATGTTTGATTCAGGGCTGCCATCAACTATGTGGGCGTTTGCTGTGGAGGCAGCAGTATATATTTATAATAGAACACCACACAAGTCGATAGGATATAAAATGCCACTGTCACTCATGAATTCTCAGAAAAAGAGTCATATAGATGAAATAAAAAGATTCGGTAGTATCAGTTATGTAAAAATACCGAAACCAGAGAACAAGTTTACACACAGAGCGATAAAAGCTATTTTAGTGGGATACACAGATACGGGTTATCTGCTATGGCATCCTACGACTGGAAAATTCTTAAATTCCAGACATGTAAAATTTAACGAGAAAGTTGTTTACAGAGATATAGCAGCTAGATCAGATATGTCACGTGTAGAGTTTGGGGAAACTGTATCGGAAGATACTGCAGAGAGGAGAGAATCAAGAGACATAAACACAATCGGACCAGAGAAGGAAGACAAAACAAAGGACGAGAGAAATGAAACGACAAAAAGGAAAAGAAAACACGAAGATGCAAAAATGCCGGAAATTAGGAAAATGCCAAAGAGAACTGCCAAGGAAAACCCGAAAAGAGATTCAGATTTTGTTTACCAGACAGAGAATATAATTGGAAAAAGAATCAAGAAATACAGGAAGATGCAACTATATTCGCATTATTGGCTGGAGTAAATGATGATCCGAAGAATTTCAAAGAAACCATGGAATCAGAAGATCGGAACGAGTGGAAGGATGCGATCCAAGAGGAACTAAAATCAATCACGGACAATGAAGTCTGGGAGATAGTGGACAGACCAAAGACTGGATTGGACAACAAGAGACCAAATATAATTGACTCCAGATGGGTATTTAAGAGAAAAAGCGAGGAAAATGGAAGGGAGAAATTCAAAGCCAGGTTAGTGATAAGGGGTTTCAAATATAAAAATAAATATGAGCTCAGAGTTTCGCGCTTGGCTTTAATAAAAGTAGCATTGGCAGTAATAAACAAAATCAAATTGGAAGCATGTCAACTCGATGTGATGACGGCATTTCTGAACGGCATATTAGATAATGAAATTTACATGGAGATTCCAGAGGGACTGAATATTGATCAGGAAAGAGATAAGGTATGCAAACTAAAGAGAGCTTTATATGGACTAAAAATCAGTTCAAAGAAATGGAACCAGAGATTCACAGAGGAGGTAAAGAAACTAGGTTTAGAAAGAGACATCAATGAACCGTGTCTTTTCACATGGAGAAAGGACGGACACATGGTGATGCTGGTATTGTACGTGGACGATATCATCTTAGCTAGAAATGATTCAGGAAGGATACACGCGATTAAGAGTGAGTTATGCAAAGCTTTTAAAATGAAAGATCTGGGGGAACCCAAAATGTTCCTGGGTATTAAAATGAACTGGGATAAGGAGAACAGTGTAATGTCGTTAAAACAATCAGAGTACATAGATAAGGTGTTAAAGAAATTCAATGTGGAAGAATGCAAAGCACAAAGCACACCTATGGTGACCAGGCAGGTGAAGAACAGGAACAATAATTACGGGACGAATGAAGATCATCAGAAAGAATCCATAGACATGAGCAAGACACCATACAGAGAAGCGATAGGTAGTTCACTTTATCTAGCGGGTGTCACTAGGCCAGACATAGCATATGCTGTGAATTACTTAGCACGGAAACAAGTGAATCCCACAGAAGATTGGAAAGATGTGAAAAGGATATTCAGATATCTAAAAGGAACTACGGACATGGGACTAATATACAGAGGAACTGAAAGACAGCTAGAAGCATTTACGGACGCGAGTTTCAGAGACTGTGAAGATTCGTGCTCGACAGGAGGATATGTATTCAAACTGTTTGGCGATACGATCACATGGAGAAGTCATAAACAGAGTTATGTAACACTTTCAACGTGTCAAGCTATGAGTGAGGCATGTCAAGAAATAATATCATTGGACAAAGCATTAAGAGATATTACAGGGAAAACACATTATCCAGTGACAGTGTAGTGTGATAACAGATCAGCAAAGGATTGCACTCAAATGGATGGTTCACACAAATTAAAGAGTTTTGATGATTCAAGGAAAGAGATAATTAGGAAATTGGAACACAGAGAAGTCGAAGGAAATAAGGGTCATATAGCTGACGCACACGGGGATTTCGTTAAGAGATGTGTGATGGAAAATAAAGTTTTAGTTCAGTGGATCAGCACCAAGGAAAATCTTGCAGACATTATGACAAAACCTTTGCCAACCACTACACACATACACTTAAGAGACAAAATTTTGTTTTAGAGAAGTTATTAAAATTTTACAGGGAAGTTTTATTTATCATTTCAGAGAAACAGAATAGAAACCAGCCGGGGACGCAATAGCCGCACTGGGAGGGAGTGTGAGCGACAAGCAGCAGTGCGGCATCTGTCGACATCGCTCACAACATTGAATCTCTCTCCCATTCCGTACCTCTCCCACCGGAAGGAGTTTCGAGCAGTTTTTTATTGCCATAAGATCGAAGGGAACCCCTTACCACTTCAATGGGAACTGTGAACGAGCACACGTGCAATTGAATTATCTTTTCAGAGTTTTATATAAAGCATCGAGAGTTTATTTTCCTTAAAAGTGTTTTTATACTATAACATATTACTTTATATTGTATATTATACCTGTCAGTTATTTTTGTAAAATAAAGTGTTAAATCTGAGACGACTAAAAATAAATAAGTGTTAAACCTGATAACGAGGGGAGAAGTCTTCCAAAAGCATAAGATCCTACATTTACATATCGATTTTCTAGGCCCATTTTACGGCAGAATGTTCCTTGTAATAATAGACGCGCACTCGAAGTGGCCAGAAGTAATAGACTTCAAAGAAAACACCAAATCGTATCGAGTAATCGAAGAACTGCAAAACTTATTTAGCAGATACGGATTGCCAATACACATAGTGTCGGACAACGGACGACAATTCACAAGTACAGAATTTAAGAGTTTCTTGGAACAAAATAGAATTAAGCACAGTTTTTCTCCGCCTTATCATCCCGCATCGAACGGTGCAGCCGAAAATTTTGTGGGTACATTTAAGAACGCGGTCACGAAAATTGTAAAAGAGGGAGAAAAGCTGGAGAATGCGATTAATCTTTTCTTGCACGACTACCGTAGCACACCCCACGCGTCGACAGGGAAGAGTCCTATTCTATAAGAGAGAAATAACAACGCGATTCGATCTAGTACGCCCACGTACAAGGGACATAGTAGAAAAAAGTCAGCAGGCGCAAGCGAAGTCACATGCAGGACGGCGAAATGTAACCCTGCGTGAAGGCGATAGTGTCCTAACTGACAACCACGGCGTACATGGGGAAAAACGAGTACAGGGTGAAATTACGAAGCAATTATCTCCCTCAACTTTCGAAGTTAAAGTGGCACCGGACACAACGTGGAAGCGCCATACCGATCAAATTGTAACTAGAGGAACTATTAAGCATCCTCTCCGGCGTTCACCTTGATTAAAGAACAAAACTTAATGCAAATCGTACCGAAACCAAAAAAGGGGGAGGAATTGTGGTGTATCACCAGTCGGTAATGTGATAAGTATTGTAGATGCGCGCACCGGAGGACCGTGAGTCTTTTGTTTTAACGGTCATTCGCAAAACGTATCCGATCCTGACTAAGGAATAAACCGATTCAACACGCTCGTGCTGCAGACTGTTCACCTTACTCTCATTCCTACATCACACTTTTCAACATCTACGTAAATGATATACCAACTAGATTTCCTTGCTCCTTAGCATTATATGCGGACGACACCGCACTACTGACATCGTCGACTAAATTATGGGCCGCCTGTGCTAGAATGCAAGATTATATCCGGGCAATTACCGACTTCTTCGCTAAATGGAAGTTATCTCTAAACGCAGACAAGACCGAGGCCATCGTCTTCTTCAGGTGTGTCGTACCCTCGAGCTCACTCGATGTCCAGGGTATCTCTATTAACTGGTCTAACAAAGTAACTTACCTGGAGGTGACCCTAGAGTCCAGACTTATCTGGATATCGGCAATCTTCGACCGTATCTTGAAAACCATTAAGGTTGCGGGTGCACTTAAAGCCCACATTAACCGCTCGTCGCATCTAAACAGGAATATCAGACTATCAATATACAAAAGGGCCTAGCTGGATAAGGGGGTCAAATGTGCCCTTGAGCCGAATGAAGCGCCGTTTGCGCCATTCGATAGCATATCAAAAAAGAAACATTCACTCCAATTTTTAGCTATATATCTCAACCAGGGGGGGAGTAATCGGGAAAATTCGAAAAATCAGTTTTTTGAGGTTTTTCCTTATTTAACGTCTTGCGAAAAATCTGAAAAAATTCTGACATGTTCGTAGTGTAGTTGGACAAGTCTGAGAATTTTTTCAGATTTTTCCCTTGCAAAATGTAGCCGTGAAAAATAAAAAAGTGCTAAAAATAATTTTTTCACATAGAAAATGGGGGGGATACTATTTTCATATTTTTATGGTAGATTCGTATTGTTGCAAGGATTGTTCATGAATTTTTTCAGATTTTTAAAATTGGTGCGTCAATGTGAAAAAAATCAAAAACTTCTTTTTTTGCTTGAAAAAGTAACTTCTGCTTCGAATTTGTATGTCTTTTTCATACAGAATTTTTATTACATGTTTTTAAACATTTTCAGTAAGGATAGACATAATTTCAACAACGATAAAGTGAAAATAAACGAAATTGTCCCATGTTCAAGTGCCGAGACGGAAGACAGTTTTCCAACAACGGCGGTGGCGAAGCGGCGAAGACTCCAGGCCAGTAATCGCTGCGTACTTTTTTGACGTAGGTTCGCGTCCTGGCGCCGACCATATTTTTTTTAACATATATATGTTTTTTTTCTCACATTTATTGTTCATTGAGCAGAGTTCATTGTTTAAACAGTATTTTTGAATTGTTTAAAAATATTTGAACATTGCTCCTTTCATGACGGTCCACTGTTTTAATCGTGGTATCGTAATGGAATAAAAGATCCAAACGTGGTTTTTG